CTCTTCTCTCTCTCTCTCTCTTCTCTCTCTCTTCTCCTCTCTCTTTCTCTTCTCTCTCTCTTCTCTCTCTCTCTCTTCTCTCTCTCTTCTCTCCCTTCTCTCTCTCTCTTCTATCTCTCTCTCTCTCTCTCTCTTCTCTCTCTCTCTTCTCTCTCTCTCTTCTCGCTCTTCTCTCTCTTCTCCGCTCTCTCTCTCTCTCTCTTCTCTCTCTCTCTCTCTCCTCTCTCTCCTTCTCTCTCTCTCTCTCTCTCTCTCTCTCTCTCCTCTCTCTCTCTCTCTCTCCTCTCTCTATCTCTTCTCTCTCTCTCTCTCTCTCTCTCTCTCTCTCTCTCTCTCTCTCTCTCTCTCTCTCTCTCTCTCTCTCTCTCTTCTCTCTCTCTCTCTCTCTCTCTCTCTATCTCTCTCTCTTCTCTCCTCTCTCTCTCTCTCTCTCTCCTCTCTCTCTCTCTCTCTCTCTCTCTCTCTCTCTCTCTCTCTCTCTTCTCTCTCTCTCTCTCTCTCTCCTCTCTCTCTCTCTCTCTCTCTCTCTCTCTCTCTCTCTCTCTCTCGGTATGCGGTCTTCTGATCACATGCCGCCTGCCCGCTCACCGCGGCACCATTCCGCGGCGCCAACAGTCGCGTTCACCCACTGCCAGTCGTCTGCCTGGTCGACGCCACGCGGCTCATTTTGCCGACATGGCGACTGTCGATCGCTATAATGAGATTAAAGTGCTTCTGCTGGGTGCGTTGACACTAGAGCTAAATATGCTTTCCGCACGTGGCATTGCGTTCTCGCGTGGTTGTTATGCAAATGCGACCAAACGAAGAGCGCAATTCGAATTACGCGACACGCAAGTGGGCGTAACGGGGCTCTCGAAAATGAAAGCGTCCACCACTTTTTAAGTGAGTCGTTTACATGCATTACCGTAGGATTAACGTGTCGTCAGCATGCTTCTAGAGCACGTCCATTTCCAGGCGATAGTGAATTTCCCAGAAGGCTGACAGGCGTGTGGGTTAATTTCTTGTTAATTTCCTACAGTACCTGCTTCCGCTAAAACAACATTCGAACCTTTCGCTGTTCTTTGAAGTTGCCATGGTAGAAACTGCAACCAAACCGAGGCGGCGCTTAAAACCGCCAAACCAACAACGATTCTGGCAACGCCAAGGCTTGCCCGATAACGTCATTCAGCTAGTATCTACTGGAATATTGAAGATCGCTTCTTGCCAGTATGAGAACTTCCACATCCTGCTGCTCCTGGTCATTGCTTCTAACGTCTAACGGTGGGTAAATGATATCATAGCTTTATGGCTGCAGTATAAGGCCTTGGCTGTCCAAGGCATTGCCAAAGACAAAGCTCTTTTCACGTTGTTTGGTTGAGGGCTCCAACAGTCGAAGAAGAATGCATTTTTCCCAGTCATTGGTGGATTTTTTCCCAAGTCCCAAGATCAGAGTTTATGTGACAATAGGTCACAGTCGGTTTGCGAAGAACCATACAGATTGTGAGGTTTGTTACGTAAGAAGACTAACAACCTGTTTCTAAATTATGATGCTCGGGGGCTGCAGGTAGTGCTTGTGAATTAGCAGGATTCCCAGCCTTACCGGTGGGGCTGGAAGTCCCATCGGTACCTGTCCGGCGGTCCATGCACGTCGACGCATCGCCCTAACGCGAGCCGGTCCTGTGCGGCAGGTTCTCACTGGCGGGCTGGGGCCTGCCGCTGCTGTGTGCCGGCCTGCAGCTGCTGCTGCCGACCGGACCGGGCGGCATACCGCTGCCCGGCCCGCTGGGCTGCTGGCTGGCCGCGCCGCCCCGTCTGCTGCTGACGTACGCGGCGCCGGTGCTGCTGCTGGTGCTGGCCGCGCTCACCTGGCTGGCCCGCACCGCCGTGCTGGTCCGGCACGTGGTGGCTATGCAGATTGACCGGCACGTGCGGGACCAGCTGCGGCGGCAACGCTACCGCCAGCTCTTCCTGCACGGCCGGCTGCTGCTTCTCCTCACCGTGGTGGCCGTGCTCGGGACTGTCAGTGCCGGTACCGGCCAAGAGGTGGCGCGCGCGCTGTACTGCCTGCTGCACGCGGCGCTCGGCCTGCTGACAACACTCTGCCTCAGCTGCAGCTGCCGGCTGCTGCGCCTCCAGGCTGACAGCTGGCGGCAGCGCTGGCAGCTGGTTGCCAGTTATGGAGCGGCAGCTGCCTCGCGCTCCAGCAGTGTTGAGGTACTGACTCTCAGCGCACCCGAGGTGGTCTGAGGACCCGGTGACCGCGGGGAGCTGCTGTACCCTATCACATAAATAGCCTCTTGAGCCTCGAGCCTGAAACTAGCATGGCTGCTCACACGACTTGGTTAACAAGCCCACCGTTGACATTCGTGGACTGCGTTGACCTTGGCAGACCTTGTAGCCAGTGAGAAGAGCCGCCCGAACGCGACATTTAAGACTTTCGACGGTCAGAGCATTCCAGCTGCACTCTTCCCATGATCTCGGAAGATTTATGAACGCGGTGCGCCTCCGTAAGACGACTTTCAGCCGAGGAGGCGGAACACTCTGCTACGTGACGTTGAAAGCACCATCTGACGGGGAGGCAGGGCTCCCGGAGCTCCCCAGGAGACATGGGGAAGCTGAGTCGCTGACTCTGACTCCGGGTCACGGCACGTCATCGCTGCATATCACCAGAGATTCGCCAGTGGGCATTCACTGCAGGCACCCGCAGGCAAAGCGACGGAGACTCAAGCGCGTCTGCTTGTGCAACTAGTCCGTGGGCGGTGGGACAGTTATGGGACGTCTGAACCTGAACATCAGTGTAACCAGCAGTGATCCATGGTAGCTTGGAGAGGTGCTCTGCTTTGACCCCTGACTCGGTCTGGCAGCGTGCGAGTCGGGCTGGACGGCCACTAAGCACGAGTTCGGTATCGGCCTTTGGCAGCGAGTGTTGTGCCGCCGCACAACTTCAGGCACAGCCGTTCCGGTGCGTCAGGTAAATCATCGTCCCAGCTGCTGGCGCCGTTCGCTGTTTACATCGCAGACGTGTACATACATGCACTATTCCAAGCATCTGTGTGGACACCTGTGGTCTGCGCATAATGCACAGCATCGCAAAGCCCAGTTGTCTGTCAAGCCTCTGTGTATTGCTCGATGGATGGTGTGATCCGATGTGCTGCAACTGGCCGCACTGGCTGGTCGTGGGTCTGTGTTGACTGGCAATACCACTCTCTGGCCACGTGGGTTCTCCGGGACAGACTGTGCAGGCCAGACAGCCGCCACACGCCTGGAGACCGGCGCACTGAGCGAGGAGTGCGACCCGAGAGGCTTGGCTGCGAATGGCAGGAAGATCGCCCCTCTGAGGTCACACGCTTCTCGGAGTTTCTCCCTGATATTCAGCCGGTGCGATGGTGCGAGTGGGGAAACTGCAATACGGGAACGCGGCACGGCTGGATATGGAGCCGCGCCCGATCGCGCTGACACCGGTGACGCAGCGACTCATCGGTTTCAACCGCCACCCTCACACACACACACGCACACACCATCCCACCTGCTAATGGCGGCTCTGCACGAGACGGCAAGCCTTGTTCGCGCGACGTGTCACAGGCGCCCCTCGCGGTGATCAGGCGAGGATCGGGAGCTGCGGTTTGAGCGGGGCCGCGTGGGATACGGCCTGGTGGATATCGGGAGCAGCACCGGACGAGACCGCGTCGAATAAACCTCTAAACGAATATTTCGAAGACCCGAATATTTTGCTGTCGAAGAGGGAAGCCGCTGGGAAGGCGGCGTGATTGGCTCAGACGTCGGCAGGGTGACCTCTCAGCAGGGATCTTCTGGGTCTGGCTCGTGGGAGTGCGGCGCGCGAGGCTTCGGCGAGGTCGCGCGAGACACGAGGAAGCCGCTGGGAAGGCGGCGTGACTGGCTCAGACGTCGGCAGGGTGACCTCTCAGCAGGGATCTTCTGGGTTTGGCTTGTGGGAGTGCGGCGCGCGAGGCTTCGGCGAGGACGCGCGAGATCACGAGTCGATCATTCGGAGGCCGTCTCATTCTACCGAAAGGAGGCATGGATCACGGGGATCCCAGGAACATTACAGCCCGTGGCCAGGGACGGTATTTGGCCGCGGTAGCGAACTGCCCCAGCGATCCGTAGCCGGCCACTCAGGCATCATCGCCGCGCCGGTCCTGTTGTCTCGTCGGGCACGCGGTCCACACCCAGCACCTGGCAGCTTCTCACAGCATCTAGCAGCTTCTCAGCCCGCCGGCACCCAAGCCGCGGCGAATACCGCGCGATCAGCAGATAATAATGTATTAGTCTTTAACGAAACAAAATGCAGTGTACAGATCTCGGGAGTCTGCTCGCCGCCGACGGGGCTGGGCCAGCACAGCCGGCGGGAGCACGGCGGCACCACCCCGTCAGACGGTGTCCGTAACGCCCCGCCGGCCCCCGCGCTCACACCGCTCGCCACCCGCTCGGGCCGCCTGTCTTTGGCTCACGGGAAAACGCGCCGGCCACGTATTATTGCGCCGAGAAGCGGAGCCTGCCGCCGAGGAGCAGGCAGCCCAGAGAGCTGCGGCCGGAGAGCGAGCGTCCCGTCCGCGGAGAAGCCTGCTGGAGCCGTCGCAGCCGCCGCAGCCGCCGCAGCGCGGGAAGAGGGCGGCGCAGCTCAGCGAGCGGGCACAGGCTGGCCCTCCTGGGTCCACCTGGGAGGCAGGGCAGCGCGCGCTGAAGCGCTATCACCGGCAGATCAACCTGAAGAGTGGAGAAGACTCGAGCCTGAGGGACAGCGAGAAGCTGCCGTAACCCCACGCGGCAGTGTCAGACTAGAGAGCTGTGGTTTCCAGCTGGCGGCGGAGGCGGCAGCTGCCGTCCAGCCGGACCGATGCTCCATCGCGTCCGGTGGCTCGTCCCTCGAACGCACCCGTCCACCTGCGCCGCGCCCCGCCCTCGCAGGGGCGGCTCCGCGCGCCCACCGCGCCACACGCGCGCCGCTGACTCACACGCGGCGGCGTGACGTCACTGCGGCCGGGCCCGCGCGGAAGCCCCCGCCGTCATCACACCGCCCCCGGCGCCGCCCAGCCGTGACGTCACAGCCGCTGCCGTTCGGGGGCGGGCGGCGCCAGTCCGCCGGCCGCCGTATCTCGCGTATAAAACAACACACCGCCCGCGCGCACCACAAATATAAAGTATAAAAAGGGCCGAGCGGCCGCCGCCGCGCCCGTGCCGCGCGCCCGCCGGCCCCCACTCCTCTGTGAAAGACCCTGAAGAGGCGGCGCCGCGCCGACCGGCCCCTAGAAGTCGAACAGCTGCTGGTCGGGGTCGAACGGCGCCGAGCCGAGGCTCGGGTCTGCCAGCGCCTGCAACGGAGTCACAGCGGTCACGGAGGTCACCGGCGCTGACCGCGGGCGGGACTCAGGTCAGAGCGCAGCGGCGCATGTGCGGCGGCAGAGGGATATTTCGGACTTACGAAGCCTCAAGCTACGACTAACTGATTTTGATTCAGCGGCCTGTTGTAAGTTGTTCTCATCCCGGTAATTGCAGCATCAATTTAGCGACGCATGCAGTACAACGTCCTTTTTCACACCCTGAACACAATTTACGGCTGATAATGACGACAGTCATAGATCATACGGGGATCCGTTATCATTGAGTATGGTCTTTACTACCTTCGACTCGCATGTGGGGGCCCGGGTTGGTATCTCGGTAGAGTCAAGGCCCCTGAGTGCTAACATGGCCTCTGCAGTCGCCGGCGTTCCAAAAAAGGTGCCGGACGACCTGCGTCACGTTCCCGTTTCAATTAAAAGTGGGCATGATCTTGAGGTACATAAATGGCTTCAATAGCTCAAACTGGGAACATGATTTTGATGCCTACGATGGTCCACCATTACATTCAGGAACCAACAATTCCCGGCTCCGAGCACTAACAGCGTCGACTAATGCCAATCGCGTACGAGCCACAAATTGCGACGTCAGCAGTTGGTCCACACCATCGATGCCCCCATAAGACCTCAGAGAGATGGCTTGTTGGAAAACGTTTGTCACGGTGTATTCGCTAGACTTGTGTTTGACTTTGGGAGGAGGCTGAACCGATTCCGGAACCAAATGAACCATATCTTCGCTGAGTCGAGTGGAATGGATTCGTCTGCAATTTAGGTGTGGGTCAGAGTCAGGGTTGCCTTGCTAACTAAGAAAAAGATTCTAGACTAATCAGTCATTAGATTCAACTTGAAATGACCGTAATGGATGTCCTCGTGTTAACAATCAAACATCTTAAAATACGCATACAAAATGGCACGTAGCACAACTGTCCTACTATCAATAACTGTTCTTTACAGGTCTTTATTACGTCCCTGCAGTCTAAAGACCGCTTACACGCTAACACGAGTTCAATGACTTACCCGTGTGGGAGGCAATAATTGTCTTGTCATTGGATTAACTTCACTAGAATTAAAACCGGCGTTAACCTTCATCGCCTTGCGTGATTACGAGTCCAATCAAAATGGTGATGGTGCACGCAGACAGAGTCCACATCAGCAACACGCGCTGAGAATTGGTATCGTAACCGGTCACAAGCGTCCGGCTCCGTACCCAACAAAGCCCATGAGGCGGGCGGTAGGTGGGCGGTAGGCGCAGTGCCTACCGCCCAGGAGAGGACTGGACGCCCGGGAGAGGTACACTGGACGCCGGTGAGCTGTACGCCGGGCGCCACCCGGGAGGGGTGCACTGGACACCGGGGAGTGGTAGGTCGGACGCCACCCGGGGAGAGGTACACTGGACGCCGATGAGCGGTACTCCGGGCGCCACCCGGGAGGGGTGCACTGGACGCCGGGGAGTGGTAGGTCGGACGCCACCCCGGGAGAGGTACACTGGACGCCGGGGAGTGGTAGGTCGGACGCCACCCCGGGAGAGGTACACTGGACGCCGATGAGCGGTACTCCGGGCGCCACCCGGGAGGGGTGCACTGGACGCCGGGGAGTGGTAGGTCGGACGCCACCCGGGGAGGGGTGCACTGGACGCCGGGGAGTGGTAGGTCGGACGCCACCCGGGGAGAGGTACACTGGACGCCGCCAGGCGCTGGTCACCCCGGCAGGGAAGCACTGAACGCTGGGGAGGGGTACGCCGGACGCCTCTCGGCGCGGGCGCGGGCTCTCACCTCGTTGTCATCGGAGAAGTAGTGCTCGATGATGTCGAAGGCCAGCTGGTAGATGTCGGTGTTCTCGTGGTTCTGGAGCGCCTCGATCTTGTCCAGGCCGCCGCACTCCTCCACGATCTGAGCCACCGCCTCCACGTCCGGGCTCGACTTCAGCATGTTGTTCAGGCCGTCCAGCACCACGTTTATCACCTGGCGAACGGCCGGGACGCGCGCGGTCACGCGAACGGAGAGACACGAGACTGGAGAGCAGACAGAGTGACGAGGGGGCACGACACGAGAGCGTGGGGGCCGGCATCGCGACCGAATCCCGATTAACGAGGCATATCAGAACACGTTGGCACCTGAAAACAGCACGCAGCGAAGACGAGACGACGCTGCATCAGCCGTGGCCACTGGCAACGCAGTCACGCCAGCGACAACGAGAAACAGAAACAGCACAGCGATGCACGGCGTGCTCTGTTCCACAATATTTACATTCGTGCCGTGCAGTCAAATCATGGCGACAAGGTGTGACGGCCCACGGGCGGTGACTGATCGTCCGCTTCCCTACTTCCGTCAACGTCTAATACCCGACACCGAGGCCGTCGGAGCGCGCGGCGGCGTTCCACGCCCCGTCCTCGCCCACCTGCGAGTCCTTGCAGTCGAGCAGTTGGCACATGGGCGGCACGCCGCCGGCGCGCACCAGGTGCTGGATCTGCTCGGGCGAGCCGCTGATGGTCAGGTTGCTGATGCACCAGGCGCACTCCTTCTGCGTCTGGAACTCGCCGCGGCTCAAGTGCTGCACCACCAGCGGCACCAGGCCGTGGTCGATCACCAGCTGCACCTGCTCCTTGTTGCCGGCCGTGATGTTGGACAGGAACCAGGCGGCCTCCTGGCGGCGGCGGCGGAGCGCGCCGGGCGCATGTCACCGTCGCCGCTGCCCGGGGGCGGGCGGGCGGCTGGCCCGTGACTGGTCAGAGACACGGCTGGCCGCCCGGCGGCGCGATCACGCCCCGAGGCGGGTCAGCGGCCGCCGGCCGGCCAGCCGCGAGTCCACGGCCGCGATGGTCGGGCCGCCGCCACCGCCGCCGCCGCCAGCACCGCTGCTGCTCCTCTCTAACCTAGCTCAGTCACGCTCTCAATCACACACGGGGCAGAGGCTGTCGTCAGCGGCCGCGGCGCGGCGCGACACTCGGCTGCACTTCGCTCTCGTCATCCGCCGCGCGGCGTCAGAGCCCCGGAGTCGGTCAGGCACGCGCTCACTCGCTCGGCTGCGGCGGTACGTTAGCGGACGGCGCTACCGCGTCCCCGCGCACGGCAACCCTGCCTACACGTGAGCAGCAGCGGTGGCGGCGACAGCAGCAGCGGCGGCGGCCCGGGCGGCAGTCCAGACTCCTGTCATCATTTCACACGGGCTGGGGCATGGCTAGTAACTACGGTATCACAAACAACCAGAAACAAACACGCAGTGCCGGACCGTAACCGTGGCGCACTCACAGGCGAAAAATCAGTACTGGAAGCGCAAACACCTCAAGAAATTACACTTTGACGATGCGATGATCGCCGACACACTCCCCGAGCCGTTCATCACGGCCACCTCTACATCCCGCGGACCGTCGTCGCCCGCCTCACCTTGTTGATCTTCTCCCTGGGGTGCTGCAGCAGGCCGGGGAAGTGGCTGAGCGCGTCGCAGTTGAGCACCTGCTGCGTCTGCTCGTCCGTGCCCGTCACGATGTTGCCCACGGCCCGCAGCGCGGCCGTCTGCACCTGTGGTCAGCGTCACGGTCGCGTCACGTCACGGCCCTGAGCGGCGCGGTCGGCGCGCAGCAGCGGACGTTTTGGCCGAAGCGTGAGCGATGGCGGTGATATTGAATCAGGACCTCTGGGAACGGCATCGGCTTAACGCACGTGGTGATGCGAGTCGTGCTCAATCCACCGCGGCCTCCTCACACACGCTGAAATCCCTGACGTCACGCGAAATCAGCCTGCCTCGCCCCACGGCACGAAACGCGCGTGTTCACTGCGTCGGTGTCGGTGCGGCAGCCGCCGGTGCCCCACCTTGGTCTCCTGGTGCGAGAGCAGCGGCACCAGCTTGGAGACGACGCCCGACTCGATCACGCGCTGGATCTGCTCGTGGCCGCCGTCGGTCAGGTAGCTGAGCGCCCACACCGTGTCCACCAGGATGGACACGTCCGAGTGGTGGATCAGAACGTTCAGCGACGGCATCATCTCCCGGATCGTGTCCGGCGACGGCGGCGGCTTGTTGTTCCGGCACAGGTTCACCAGCACCTGGCGGCCAGACGCCGTGAATCAGTGCTGCCGTGTGGCGGGCGGCTGACGGCGAGGCCGGCGGAGAGCGCCGACGGAGACAGGGGCCAGCAGGAATGAGCGGGAGGACGCGACAGGGAAGGCCGCACAGACGGGTCAGCATGTGTCACCCCTAACACGGTGTCGTCACGAACACTGACCCCAAAAGCGAAGTTTAGAACACGTGGGACACAGTCCGCAACACAACGTATGACGCCATGTGCAGGGTGTCATCGCACTGTCTTCTCGCCGTCATTGACGTCTGCCACCAACACTCATTCGGCCAGCTCCCCAGCGGACACGGGCAGCCGTGAGAGTCAGCGGCGGCCCGCTGGCCGTGCCCTACCCTGGCGCGTCCACACGTCGACTCACCCACGTGACGTTCCTCAGAAAGTTGAGCGGGATCTTGTCGTTAATGAAGGCTATCAGCGGCTGGACGATCCCCAGACCTATGACGTAGTCTCTCAGGTCGGGGCCGTCTCCGATTATATTACCTGCCCGACAGCCGCGCATACACCACGTAACAAACGCCACGCAAGGCGGCACACATACCATGGGGCAGCGTAACACACAGACAGGTACAATACGGGGTTGCTGCTTGCCTCGCTGCGCGAAGAGGTGACATTGTCGGTGCCAGTGGTGCCGCCACCCGTGTCACTACCGTCGCACGTGCCTCAGTAATATAGAGTGCATCTCAATAACATTTGCAAGCAATTTAACACTGTTGGACCTCCCCTACGCACTACGCGTGCAATGCTGTTCCACGTATTCGGGACCTCAAAGGGGCCTTCCTTGGTTGCGGACGCTCCCTGCTCCACTGTGCGAGGGCAGAGCGCCGTTGGCGTCGGTTAAGCACCACTTCCATCCACCTAGAGTTGATTCACATCATGATTATGCATATTGTGTCCTCATATCAGTTCTTCTAAGCTTCCAATGCTTGCGTCAATTGGCAATCCCTTATGTGTGGAAACGCCTAATCCGCCGTTGCTCGAACCCCTCATGCTTTTCCGCCTCATATTTTTGGGGGCCTAGACTTCGCACAGTTTGTTTCTTCCCAGCATACCAGCAACCTCTCCCTGCTAAATGCCAAAACACGCGCCTCTCGCCTGCGCTGTGACCAATACCGGTACCGGACGGGTGTGAATTCATTTTGTGCATCGTCACGAAGGTTGATTCCGTCGTGTGCGCAAACTCACAACAATCTGCACGGCCATCTGTGCTGTGCACCTCGCTAAAGAAATGCGGGCAGACTGTCAGACAGATGCACGCTCCGAAATCAATGAATTAGACGATAGATTTCCGCTTGCTTCGCTGCATGAAGAGGCGACCTTGTTGGGATCGGTAGTTCTGCCGCCAACGATGTGACGTCGACTTGGGCATCAAACAACAGAGGAATTCGATTCAACTCCTGCGAATTTGGCCGAGTTCCTAAGAAATCGCCCTGGATTTATTGCAAACCTTATGGCTTACGGGTGGAGACATGGGCCGTGTCCACTTCGGCTACGTTCCTCCGTTTACATGTGTCAAGTGTTTAACACTTCAGGATCACTGCGACACATTACCCACGCGGTGCTGTTCACGCATTGGGACATCAAATGTTTGGCATTAAGTTGTAGTTCCCGCACGCTTTGCGAAGAGCCGGCGCCGTTGGCGGCGGTATGACACCGCCTCCAGCCACACACCGTTGGTACGCATCGCAAGTGTCTTTATTATTTTGCCTGATATTTGAAACTTTGTCAATGGGGACCCCACATGGTGTGCAAACGCTATGTACATCGATGCTAAACCTTCGCAACATGATTTTGACGGCTTGGCTTTAGCACAAGTATACATACAAAAAGCATCCCCGCTTAGATGCCGGCACCGGACGGGCATGAACTGTTGTGGATTTGGAAAAAAACAGGATGTTCACGGAGTCTGAGCCCGACGTATGCGCAACCTCCCCGGCCATCGGCGCGACCGCCTGCACTGTGCGTCTGGCTCAAGACATGCGGACAGAGAAGACGCACAGGCGTCCGTTCAGAATTGGTCAATTACATGTCAGAGGAACCGGAGGCAGTGGTAAACAGCATGTCCTTATAATTTTTAATTTGTTGACTGCCGACAGTAGAAGTGGTCCGTCGTCTTCTACGGCCACCACCCGACGGCCATGTGTTGAACTTTCAGTGACCTAGCTTACTTAGCGGTCCTCGGACTTCATCAGCCTTCCCAGCCCGAAACCCAAAGGAAGCTACCCCTCACTCAATCCGAGGTTATATCTGGCCTGTCGCCGAACGCTCCGACGGCCTGATCGGAGCCTGCAGACGCGACAACCGCAACTGCTGATGAGGGCCGCCCAGACACCGCTGACTTACCTAGCGCCCAGACGGCCTGTTCGCAGACCTGCAGGTGGGGCGAGCGCAGCAGGCGCAGGAAGTGCGGCGTGGCGCCGGAGTTGACTACCGCCTCGGTCTGCACCGTGGTGCCCGAGGCGATGTTGGTCAGCGCCCACGTCGCCTCAAACTGTAGCGCCGGGCTATCAGACGAGGGTCGGTCAGAGGGAGGCGCGGCGCCGGCGGCCCGTGGCACGTGTGGTCAGCAGGGCCAGACACTGGCAGCAGTGGCCTAAGCACTAGATGGGACAGATGGTGTGGCAACTGGGTATGCAGGCGATATTGCTGACAGCATGCAGGGGGGATAGCGGCCTGACTGGTGAGACATGGGAATGGTATGCTGGCATGCATACAGCATGGTACATATTGGTACAATCGCCAACACTTGTCACCTTTGGCACCCTTGGAAGCACTTTAACACCAATTCCACCAAACTGTTATCTATTGTCTATTCAACATTTTCTATTGTCTTCCGACCATTTGAAGTAATCTGTCCCAACTTTCTCACTTAGATCCAGTGCATGTTTCTCACATAATTACCCCACTCTTTCCCTAGAAAAGGCTCCCACTCCTCCTGTCACCCACTTGTCATCGGCCTGCAGGCACTGGACGAGCACGGGCAGCACGCCGCTCTGCACGAGCGCGTCAATGGGCGGGTTCTTGTCAGAGCTGAGCAGCTTGCGCGCCGCCTGCACGGCGCCCAGCCGCACCTGCGGGTCGGCGCTCGAGGCGTTCGTCACGATCACCTGCAGATTCGACGCCGTGTACGTCCGGTCGGCGTCCTCGTCGTCTGTCGGCGGCGCAGGACACGACGGCATGAGACTGGGTGCGGATGCTCACAATGGCCGATGTTGGAGTGTTCCACCCACACAGCATGCTGGCTGGGAATGGGTGTGGTGGGGGCTTCCTAGAGTAGCGATTGAAATGGGCAGTTGCTGTTTACTAACATGACTCATGCTTGATATCACTGCTGTTCTGACAACAGTCATGGCAGTTGTGGGAGGGCACAATGATGATACACCCTTTATCTGCTTTAATTTTACTTTGTCAACATGCACAAAATTTGTTCAGTTTTTATTTGAAGAGCTTACCAGCTGAGTCTGCATTGAGCGGCACATTTCTTCTTTTTTGGAGGGTCTCCTCACGTTTGTTCTTCCTTAGTTCTACTGTAACCTCATTCCTTCTTCTCCTCATTTCCTGAAATAATGTGTGTTAAAAACATAAAAATGTGTCAACTATTGGATATCATGACCAACATTGCTAACAGTCAGGTGAATACATGTAATGTAAGCATACAACAAATTGTAAGATAATTGGCAACTAAGCACATGCTTGAACATATGAAATATCAATGAGCACAAAAATAACAATATAAAACACTCCCACAAACACAACTTATAGCTCATAAAATAGCAGGTAACCAAAGAAAAAAGCAGCCCAGTGGCTTTCCTCACCAAACAAAAACAAATTGCAAGTCAGAAATACTTGTCTTTGGGTTACAGCAACTACAACATGTTTTAATGTTGCACTCTAAATCACTGAAAATGGAAAACAGCTTATTTCATCTCAAACCAACTTCATCTCACTGATATAAGAGGAGAGCTGCATCTATATACACATACTAAAGCAACATTCTTAATGCACTTGGTCTTCACAAAGTTTAGTTGCCTTGAATCTACAAAGCAATAACACAATCAATTCTCAGTTTGCAACATGGCATAATTGGGACAGATGACAGCATGACAACATGGCACCTGACAAGACAAAACTAACAAATAAAATGTGTTATAGGCTGTGGAAAGAAAAGGGTCAAATCATGAAAATCAATAATGATGACATAATTGTGATGCATGGAAGCTTAAACCAATACTGTCAGGCACAACAGGCCTCTTAAGAGCACTAAGATTCCATTTTCAGGCACTCCTTGTCCACATTCTGAAAGATGGACATCCAATGCATGCATACATCACAAAAACTTTGAAATGTGTGGCACAGTCATGATAGTTCTGTTGATTCTTACATCTTGATCCTTTCCTTTATTCTTGAAATTGTGGAGTCTCGCACTGACGTTTCCGTCAGACGCCATCCTGCACGGAATCTTGAAATCTCCAGACAGCGGCGAAAACAAAAGACTGGAACACCACTGCCCGCTATTGAGGGCAATCTAACATAGATATACAGGATCCAGTACGCCTTTTGGTCGCTTCACCTTCTTTTCTCCCAAAAGGGCGAACACCGGATATGACAATGCAATTAATGGCATATCTCGAGCCCACAGTCCCTATCCACTCCGTGAACTGTATGGAATATTCACATCTAATGAAGGCGAAAAACTCGAGGTTACTAAATGGTTGTATTCGCAACTCGGCACTGTTTTTCGTTTAAGCACCTATTTTCTATTTTAAACCAATCATATTGCTGATTTGATGCCTAGACAAATCATCGAAGCGGATGTCAGGCGACACTCGGTCAGAAAGCTTACTGTGAACACACTGCAATGGCTGCGGCAGAAAGGTCCGTGGATGAGGCGAGGAGTGGTGCTCTCGACAATCTGTGTGCACCGTCGCGGTCTTTCACAGCCGCGTGTGGTGTACGGGGTGTTGGGAGAGAAGGCCGCTAGCTGTGTAATTCGTCAGTCGTTGCAACTGAGCTAAAATGACTCTAATTATTTATCTAGTTGTGTCTAATTGTGTTTGTTTGTGCCGTTATTTGATGCTCGAAAATTTTGTGGTTGATTCATCGTACCGCAAATTAAACCAATCCATATGGATAAAGTGGCAAACCAGAATCTTGACATGCTGGGTTTATTTTGTCATTCAGTTATTTTGAATGCAGCAAGATTGGGTGGCTTGCCACTGATTCTAAGCATGCAGATACCAGCCATTGACACTCAATATCATGTAGCCCAATATTTCCAATTCAGCATGCATGTTTTGAAAGCTGCTGATACCACAACAAATGGGGACATGCTCTGGGCATGGGAGATGCATAAAGAATTGAAGATAAGTTACTTTGTGTATTCTAGACCTGTAGTACCAATAGTTACAGGCTGCTTTGATTGGAATTTTTATGTATTGAAGGATTTGCATATGTTGATGGTGCCAATAGAGCATTTCTGTGAAATGTTCTTTGGATAATGTATGCCTCATTGAAGCTGTTTATAGATCATAAAAATGTTATATTTTTCTGTTTTTCATGTCTTGTATACCCGAAAGATGCTTTTAAGATGGCAGGGCTCAGTGGAAAAGCATTTGTGTAGCAATTTACACTGAAAGTTGTGTTAACTGAGCATGGCTCCCAGTCTGGAGCTTTATCACTTTTTGGTTAAATAATAGGATTACACAGCATACACACAATTAATGTTGAGTGCACTGTTAAACCTCAGCCTATAGCATTGTGTATCACACCTAATAGTATTCCTAGCATGTGTTTAGGAACTATGTGTACACACATATTTTTGGATGCAAGCATAATTGGGATATTTGTGTGTGTGGTATTTGTAAGATATGATACATTTGTTCATGTTTGGGCACATGATCAAAATGGAAGGTACTGTCTGTCAAGTCCTGTGTTTACATGGATCCCAAAACAAATGTAATGATCCTATCCTGATTCCTGTTTGCTTTATATTGATGCAAATGATAACCTGTCTTGATCCACCAATGACTTTTTGATTTTTTTACCTGTGTTCACAGCAAAATGCTATGTACTTGATTTCATCCCAACTCAATGTAAATTTCTTGGATTCTGGAGCCCATTGGGACTCTGCCTGGAGTCAGGCACAAGACTGATTACATGCAGCTGTCTGTGCAGTCTTCCAGTTTGTTGCGCACTGTCTCATATAATGTTATCATGACATTAGTGGGCACTTTGAATATGTTGATGCAAGCATATACTGTGACAAGTTAATCAGCACTTTGCTCTCTGTTTCAGTTTGAAGAATATGGTGCAATTTTAATATTGTAACAATAATTATAAACACATGATAGTGTGCACTAAGAAGTGTAGACCCTTAATTTCACCTTAAGGTTGGAACAGAAAGTTAAGGCCAAAAAAGTGTGATTTGGAATCACTATCCAACCATGCCATCTGTCAAGTGTATCCTGCAAGCAGCAGTGATTGCAGCAGTGTGCAGCTGTGTGTTGTCTTGGAACCAAGATGAAATGGACATGTATGATCTGATTGAAGAGATAGGAATGAAGCCAAACTTCTATGAGCTGCTGGGTCTGGCTGAGGTGAGAAATAGTTGTCCATAGAACACAAGTACAGTCAGTTTTACCTGACATCTCCTAGAAATTTGTTTGTAAACATTCAAAAGTAGTGTAGTTCACAGTTTTATCACCATAACCACCAGTCATTTAATTCCCTGGCAGGTGTGTGATGGTCTAGTAGTCAGTGCTGGCGATGCTGCCGGTGCTCTCGGCGACGCGGTGCCTGACCGAGCCGTGGGCCCTGCTCCGTTGCAGAACGCCACCTCGATGGAGGTGCGCCGCACGTTCCGGCAGCTCTCGCTGATCCACCACCCGGACAAGAGCGACGCCGAGGACGCCGAAGTCAAGTTCAGACAGGTGCGGAGCCAGGCGGCGGCGGCCGGACGGCCTGGGTACCCGCCGCTTGTTGGGGATGGCGACGGGCTGGGTACCCGCCGCTTGTTGGGGATGGCGACGGCCTGGGTACCCGCCGCTTGTTGGGGATGGCGACGGCTGGGTACCCGCCGCTTGTTGGGGATGGCGACGGGCTGGGCCGCGGAGCGCCAGACGGAGCCGGTGGTGGTGTGGGACTCAGGTCTAAGCTCGGGTTTCAGGGACGTGGTAGTTCTACGAGACTCATTCTGCTCCTGACCATGTCGTGACGCCTTGGGTCCTCAGCTGACACCACCTCAGCGTTCTGTGTCAGCTGAGAAACTGCAACGCTAATGCCGATGACAGTCACAAACGTGGCATCGTAATATAACTGACAGATCCATCTGATGGACCTAGTCCTGTAGAGAGCAATGTACGAGCCCTGGCCGCCCCAGTACACATGTTCGGCGTGTGACCCTGCCTGCTGTGTTATGCGCAGCTGGTGGGCTTGTATAAGGTGCTGCGCGATACGGCCCGCGCGGGTTGGCCGGCGTGTGACCCTGCCTGCTGTGTTATGCGCAGCTGGTGGGCTTGTACAAGGTGCTGCGCGATACGGGCTGCGCGGGTATGGCCGGCGTGTGACCCTGCCTGCTGTGTTATGCGCAGCTGGTGGGCGTGTACGAGGTGCTGCGCGACACGGCCCGTCGGGAGATGTACGACAAGTTCCTGGTGGACGGCATGCCGGACTGGCGCTCGGCCCTTTACTATTACCGGCGCGCACGCAAGATGGGCATGCTTGAGATCACCATCATCCTGTCCATCATCACCACAATCGGCCAGTACCTGACGTCGTGGGCCGGCTACAAAGAGCGGCGACTGGCCGTGGTGGGTGATGGTCGGGGACGCGGCGGCGATGGTTCGTCGCATTCGCACCGCGGAAGACACGCCGCCTACGTGTGCCGAGTGTTCCGTTATGTGGTGCTAGCTCAGCTTGGGAACTCGTGCACATAATAGAGCTCCTGTGGTTCTGCGGTTGCATGCAAAAGTCACCACAATTGCGTAATCCGTTTGACGATCGTGGTTTCCGTCAACTTATTGCGTCGGTGAGGGTGTGGCCTTTCATTTCACAAAGAAAAAACTGCGAAGCCTTTGATGCTGAGGCAGTCGAGATGGTGGCGTGGTGACTAAGCTGTCGAGAACCGATCGGCCGACCTTCCGACTTCGTGATCGGAGTCTGCTTATTGCCCGACGCACGATCCGCATGCGAGTGCATCGCTTATGAACCGGTACCGTAGGTCATGTGCGCGAAAATGTGTGGAGCAAGGTATGACACGCGGTGATGTGGATATGCTTTTGGGGGCAACGATGACAATGTAACAGTATGGCATGCATGAAATTTGCAGTGGCTTCGCACCACACACACACTGCATCCTTTGTTGTTTGCCTTATTAGCAGGGAACAAAGCAGAATGCAATTCTAGATCTTGTGGTTGCAGGAAGATGCAGTACGATCCAAGTTCAAACGAGAGCGGAAGATGGGGAAAGATATCGACTTCGATGCGATGATAGAGAAAAACATGGAAGAATTCGAAAAGCCAAGGTATGTTTTACAGATGGCGTAGTTGTTTGTACTACCTTCCTCGTCTGGTGTGTTAGTGTGTATACAGCATGTCGGCCAGTTAACTTTCCGGCCGCTGTCGGGTGCTATTGAATCCTGAGAAGGACTGTGTGTTGCTTGACTGTCAGTCATATACAAAGGTATATTTATGGTTGAATGGTTCATTCCTGTTAGCCGTTTTAAAATAGCCAAACGCCTGTTGGTGCCTGTACGTCCATCTTGCGTCTTTTATTCCTTTCGGTTTCGAAAGGGTCTAGCGGGGGTTTATGGGAGGTTTTATTATAGATTGTTTTATATATTATATGGGAGGTTTTATTATAGAGAGGCTTTATGCCTCGAAGAGATGCCCTCCGAGAAAGGTATCCCCAATGGTCACTTGTTGTCTCGTGCCATATCCGCACCGACCGGCCTTATCTTCCCTCGCGGACGGATCTGGAACGCACCGACCCTGCCTCGTGCCGACCATCACTGCCCTGTCCCAGCTAGGTGCCATGTTTAAGACGTGTGTCCGTTGCTGACGCAGTCCTCACCCCGGCAGCTGGTGGAATACGCTGCCGTTTCAGCTGGTGCGAGGGGTGCGCTGGCTGGTGTGCCGCGCGCCGTTCGCGCTGGTTGAGTCGGTGCGCGCCGAGCGTGAGCGGCGCGAGCAGGAGCGGCTGGCGGCCGAGCGGGCGCGCGAGGAGGAGGAGCAGCAGCGCGAGGAGGCCCAGCGGCAGCGCGACAAGCGGCGCGAGATGAAGGAGCGTCGCCGCCAGCGGCTGCAGGAGCTGCCCGAGGGCGGGCCAGAGGCGGCCGCCGCGCCGGCCGGCGCCGCCGCCGACGCCGGCTCGGGCCGCACCTGGAGCACGGCCCGGTCCGGCCCCTGGGCCGACGAGGACCTGGTGGAGCTGGCGCGCCTGGTGAAACGGCACCCGGGCGGCACGCCCGAGCGCTGGGAGCTGATCGCCGAGGCGCTGGAGCGCACCGTGGCCGAGGTGACGCGCATGGCGCGCCAGATCCGCGACCGACCGCACATGGTGCCCGTGTCGGCCGGCGCGCAGACCGCCACCGCCGACGGCCGACACGTGGCCGACAGCGTGCTCGAGCCGGCCGCGCCTCCTCCGCCGCCGCCGCCGCGCAAGGTCAAGACGCGCGGTGCGCCGGCGGCCGCGGCCGGCGCCGACGAGGCTGCCTGGTCGCAGCAGCAGCAGCGCGCGCTGGAGACAGCGCTCGCGCAGTACCCCAAGGGCTCGGCAGAGCGCTGGGAACGGATTGCCAAGGCCGTGCCCGACAAGACGAAGGTGGGTACTGGCGACAGGGTGCTTGGCAGCAGAGTTGGTTGCGTCTAGGGTGGACGCAGTACCGACAGCAGAAGGCGTATTATGAGGGTTGAGTGGTGTCTGCCTTTGTCAGGTTTAAAGCTTGGCTCAAGAAGGTATATTCGAAAGAAGTATGTGAAATTTTTAAAAAATTCCTGCAGTGTGGGATTATAAAATTGCATGGGATACTTGCGTGCATTAAGTGATCAGAACCTAGCATTTGTGTTAGGCAAGTTTTCCAAACCTCTTAGCAGAAGCGCCAACCTGTTGCGCACGTTGGCAGCAACTAGCATGTAGTTAAACCCCTCATTTATATTGTCAAATTGTTTCACTCCACTGTTCGAATGCAGCGATTCCCACCGGCTGAAACGTTATCTAGAATTATAGCCGCTGTCATGGTGTCGCCAAATGTGTTCGCCTGAGGCACCGAACTAGTGCCGGTCAATTGAAGATTGCGTTCCCGCTCCCCGGCTGGCGTCACGCGTGTGCCCTTCGCGAGGCGATGCCACCGCGTGGAGGGCATGGCTTGCGCCTGAGTCCCCAGCAGCGCGTCGGTGCTGACGTCTCGGTCCGGGTTCGCCCCGGTCGCTGACCACCCTCCCCCCCCCCCCCCCCCCGCAGGAGGAGTGCATGCTGCGCTTCCGGTACCTGGCCGAGATGGTGAAGAAGCGGAAAGAGGCCGACTCGCAGAAGGAGGAGGCCGACTCGCAGCCGGATGAGGCCGAGCCTCAGCCGGAGGGCCCGGCAGCTGAAACCATCGAGACGGTCGGCGTCAGCAGCACGGCGCGGTGTGCAGAGCCGGTGGCGGCGTTAGCGGAGTGAAGGGGCCACCTGCGGACGCTGGACCGTGCCAATTGTGATAAGCGCGCCGGTGGACTGTGCTTGTTTGGGATGTCGAGAGGCGCTGTATGTCGTCGACTGATGTTGGGTTGGGGTCGGGTCGGCTTGGATCGCTTGGGCACTGCAGCACAACTCACGTATTTTGTTTTGTATTGTGACTGCGGGAAGCGAGCGTAGTGGTGGACGGTCTGTGATTAACCGGGATAAAAAAGGTTTGGTGCCCATAAACTTTAAAACATTTGCGAAAAATGTTTGCCTTGCCCAGCCAGACCAAGTTGATCAGTTGCGTGACTGTTTCCGAACATGACCGTTGCTGTTGCTTACGGAAAACCGTGACATCTCAATTTACCTGATACGTTTTTCGTTTCCCCATAACACTGCCCTTTTTGATCTGTGTCCCTTTTTACTGGTGTGGTAAAACAGTGGGCATGGACCGTGGGCCGACAGACCCTAGTTCCTAATTGCGGTGCGACAGGCGGACCACACTAACCTGCGATTCGGTCGCGGCTCCTGCAGCCAACACGGGGCCGGAATGCGGCGCGATGTTCAGACGATGTCCTCCACTGGCCGCTGCCGCTGCCAACGCAAGACCAAACACGAACAATACACGCCGCTGGCTTGTTCGAGTCTATGTTGCCGTTGATGATGGCCGGTGCTGCGCCGTGGGACGGATTTGCTTTCGCCACCAGGAGATGGGTCATCCTGTCCACGCAGATGAAGGCACGTTTTTTTACTGTCACACGATTTCTCCTAGACATAGATGATATTCCATGGCACGCAGTCATGATTGCCAACTTGCGAGAAAAGCCTAACCGATACCTTTTTGGCGTTTTCGCATGCTCTTCACTTCTGAATGACGGGCCTAATGTCAATGCAGCCAGGTGATAACCAAAGCTTAAACCACTAGTTTTTCAGTCGTTTTACGTCTTTTTTTTTTGCCTTTCAGTGTGGGATGGGGTGGGTGGATCACTGGACGATTCCGGATTTGGTATTCGTTAGGCTGAAGCCGGTTGCGCAATAATGTTCGGAGGATACGAAAGGTTAAGCCGAGGTTCCTTTTCCCCTTGATACGTCTTGAGAAACGGCGCTGTACTGCCTTACCCTTTGGTATCAAACCTTACCGTTGTCATGGGTCTGATCTAAACATTACACGATGCTTTGAGTGTTTCGCACGCCTGTTTGGTCATTTTGGGCAACCTGTTAATGGGCCACGTTAAGCTCATCCGATCATTATTTAGGGGTTTATCGCAGTCCTGCACGTGGCACCCGCAAGCCTATATGAACTGATGTGTCCTATGTATCGGTTTCACAAGGCACCAAATATACCACCTTTCCTTGAGCGAACCGTGACTAACGATATCAGACTTGATCCCATCTTGGCTATGAATGACGTCATTTACTATTCGTGATATCGTGTACATTTTATGCTCCCTGAGTGTGAGGGCACCTTGGTACAATAACAAACCCGTGGACGCCGTACTTGACGATCCGTTAGTTGACCAGCGCGATGTAATTAGATGGTTGATTATCATTTACCAGGCATCTGTAGACCACGGGCCATCGATTGATTGCAGTCGGCACGCCACGCGCCACAGGAGGTGATACGATGCATGCATGAGTCAATGTTTGTAATATGCATGATGATGCATGCATACGACATGCGTGATACATGATACAATGCCTGTCTCGCTCCTTAGCCATAACAACTAAACATGGTGGCACGATCCCTCAATAATTCATGGTTTCATAATGGCTCTCATACACATGCTTATTGTCACACATGCCCTTGAGATGTGGCTCCTCAGATGGAGCAACAGGTTTTGGAGTTCTGTATCTGCTTTATGGATGTACTGCCTTTGGTGCTCACCAATGATTAGAAGGTATTGTCAAAAACAGATAATGGGTATGTTTGAAAAGCTATTTGCCATACCCTCTGTGATAATGATTGCCTTTGGCAATCATATTTGCTACTTGTTGACAGTAATATCTTTGAGTCTACCATAATTTCCTTGATTTTGATAATAACTACAAGTTTGAAAGATACCCATGATAGGTATTTAAGTGCTTTCAATAACTCACTGATGTGTAAAACATTTAAATATTGTTAACACTGGTCCCTCTTTTTGTGGACAGTAGTGAACTGAAGACTCATAATTTGGGCATGAGAAGATGGTTGTTGCATCAAGGGGCTTTTATTATGCCTATGAATACCTGTAGGTGGCAGCATTGCATTCATTGATTATATAGCTATTCTTTGAGATGGCCAGATATTCATGAAATGTGGACATAGGCAAATATTTTAATAAGCTATAGAAAAATGCAAGACCATGAGGGGAAAGTCAGGGCCAGGTGGGGCATGGCTGGGCCCTACCTAAGAAGCCCCATGTAAACAGCATGGTCCAGCCCTGGCTGGGCATATGCCAAAACTTTATGAGCAGCAGCCAATATTTCATGGAGACCCAGCAATAGCATAGATTACATCAGCTGATCATGTCACCGAATCAGGATCAGCATCAGCTCATGATTCAGTGGCCTGGCTCAAAGACCAGCACATCAATTATCAAGCTCTCTTGTTAGAGGTGTGGATGGGTCATGCTAGGCATAGAAAAGTTAGTATCTTTATATGGTAGCTGCATGCTAGGGGTGGTATCTACATGTAGTAACAACATATTTACAAATGCATATTACTCTTTCTTGTTTGAGATGCATCTTCTTGTTAATCAATTGATAGGTTTTCAAGCAGAATGGTGTCAAGAAACAAGCAGGCAGCCTGTGCCTATTAAGCCAAGATCATT